CTTTAAGTTACATTGCTTGGAAATACGGGAGAAAAAGACTTTCTGTGTCTGCATTTCACAGAATGTGCTTTGGAGAAATTCTGGTGTAGTGTTACTGTTATAGCCACAATCCTTCTTTTACTGCACCATTTTGTAGGCGAGTTCAATCTTACTGAATCTCTCAGCAGCACAACACCACAGGCATCAGCTATTGGAATGTTTAGTTTTCATCTGGGATGGCTGAGAGTACTTGAAGGGTAGTCTCAAAGTTGAACTTACTTTTAATACTTGAGAGTTTGCAGTGGATGTGGTTTTGTGCTGGAATCCCTGATGCGTTATGCAAATTTCAGGTGCCATGATAATGGCAATATTTATGGCAACAATAGGTTCTAAAAACAGACCTCTCTAGCAGAAACTTTTAAAGAAAGTGAAAGAAATAATCTACTTCCTAACATCAATAGAGTGGTCAGAGTTATGCCTAGAAAGAGATGTTCACTATATTTAACTAATGCATCAGAATTTTGCCAATAATCAAGTTTGAAAAGGAGTAAAAAAAATATTCAAAGGAACATGTGAAGCACTGTGCATGCATATCATTACAAAAATAAGAAAATCATACTGTTTGACAGAGTAGCAATTAAGGATACAAGTTTTGCTCTGCTCTTTTTTTAAGGTAAACCCTACAACTTTTTCTGAAAAGTTTATAGTTACTGCCTTCAACTATGTTAATCTCCATGTCAATGACACATTGCACCTGTGATGATAAATCTGAAATCTATAACATTTATCATAACTGAAAAGATAACTTTACCAAAAAAGAGAAGAAAATGTTACTAACTTTTTGGGATTGTGGTTTTTTGTGTTTTTTTTTCCCCCCTGACTGTACAGGGAAGAATGATGACCTCCCAATCAGCTTAATGTAACGTGTAGGTTACAATGATAAGACAGCTTGCTTTAGTCAGCCTGCACCAAGCCCATGTGAAGGGAGGTCAGTAACTATTAATCATTTGTCAAAGACTGTGGGACCTTGTCAGCCAATTACAGATACAAGGAACTTTATATTACATCCACAAGTGGCAAAGCTACAAAGGACTTACACCACAGCACAGTGGTGACACTTTTTATAGGTAAAACATAAATCTAGACAAAGCACTGGCCTGAACTGCATCATATTTTCATTTAGTAACTTTTAGTAAACACTTCATAACACCATTGTTTCTTCTGAAAATGTTCAGGACCTCATATGCTCCTTAGCTTTAAGAGGTTTCTTTGTTACTCACAACCAACCAACAGAATCTAATTTAAACACAAAAAATTCCCACTGAAGAAGCGACTTGCACCTACAGAGTGCGCAAATCTAGCTTATTTTACAAGTTAGCTACTGGACTGCCTTGAAGTTGGTCCTGAATCTTACCACTTCAGAGCAACTGCAACATTCACTTTTCACAGCAAAGTCTATGGGGGGGATAACAGTGTCCACGGATGCAGGTCAGAGGGCCATGGAGAATAAGACATTGAAAAGGGTAGATGGGAGCTTGATAAAATGACATCTCATTGCTTCTTCAGATTCTTGATTCTTGCTGGATTTTTCTGGCTGACAATCCACATCAGCTACAGATGGATCTCAGTATCAGCAGGAATTATTTAGTCTGAGAGCACTGATCAGTGCACTTTCTCATAAAATGATGTCTGTGTTTTATGGCTTATATTCCTGGCTATAGTTCAAATCAGGCAGACATTTACCAGCATCAAACCTCTGTGCTCACAATTCATTATGCGTACACTTTTTTTTTAACATGCAGAGTTAAATGGCTGGGTAGAACCTAACTGAGAATATGTCTGTGTACATTTTGCATGAAGTTACTTCAGCAAACTATACTTCTTGTGAAAGGATATCCAATGAAATGCTGAAATATTTGTGTCCTACTTTAGTGCGGTTTCTGGGGAAGAGCTGTTTGAACTTCAGAGGAACAAAATCTACTTGGTAGCTTGTGAAGAGCTGAGCAGGCTGCCAAGGGAGGATCTAGTGAGGCAATGCTTATCAGGATAGTCTTCAACTTACAATAAAACCCTCTCTCAATGATGGAAAAGTCAAGTTTTGTCAGAAATAACTCTTTTGGAGAGGATCTGTAGAAGTTAGGAAAATCTCTTCATAAAATTAGGCTCAAGTGGTGTTTTTCAGAGAGTACCTTTACCTTCTGCAGTTTAGTACGGCTGAAATTCCTCTAGAATATTTACTTTCTTTCAGCACTTCCTTTAATGAAACTTGCAAAGTTTCTATGACATACAGATATTTTGGAGGACAAATTCTTATTAAGTAGATGCAGAGTACATTACAATTTCCAGTCCCTGCACTGGAGGAAGAAGTAACACAGATAGTTAAAGCTTCCTATTTGGAGAGAAGAGAGCAATTCTGAAGTTCAGCTAGGACCACAGGAGCCCATCAATCAGTGGGAAGCACATAGCTAAGGCTTGAAACACTGCACAGCATCCTGCTCATCTGGCTCTGTAGCCTCTGCAGTCAGTCTGTCTCCTTTCATTAACCGGTTCTCCACCTTGGAAAGCAGCATGATGTGGAGGTGATTTGTATTGCAGCAGCAATATTCTTGGCAGACTTACGACCTTTACCCGGTGGAACCAATGGAAAATTAGTCTACCTGGGTCTTTTTATTGACTGCCTTTCCATTATCTTCACAGGTGCTTTCTTTCCCAGCTTGTTTTTTTATCTTATTATGGACAGAAGCTACATTTACTGGACAATAGCTTCCACATTGCTATCTCTTAATTTCCCAGAAAATATCATTACTATACTTTTTAAAGTTTCTTGAGACCTGTCAAATTTTTCATCACTCTTTACGACAAACTATTTGTTGTTTCAGTAAGTGCATCACGCAACCATCTTCCTGCCATGGCATTTACATCGATTCATCTACATAGGACACATGAATTTATCATAAATTCTATGTGTTCCCCTACATAGTTACAGTAGGTTTTCAACGATGTAGACATTTTCCAGTTGCTCATACATGACTTGTTAAAATTGGCTTTAAAAACAGATTAGGGACTAAGTTATAGAATTACCATTAGTTTTATCTCCCTCTCATTTAGGTACACACCCTCTATGAAAAACATTACAGAGTTTTCCATTATAAATAAAAAGTAATGTTATGAATAATGGTATTCAAGTCACATCATCTCCAGTTTTTATATCATGATGCAAGCTGACCTCATAATTTTGTCAGCTTCTGTATTTACAGCCCAATAATGCTATTCTGGCAGTTCACAAGGGCTTCTGAATTTATGAGACACTCACAAGTCAGGTATTTTACGAATACTTTGCCTGCATTTTTCGAGAATGGTTTCTAGAGAAATCTAAGTCTACTGTATGTACTGGAATAAAATACCCTAAGAACTAGGTTGTAATTTATACTATTTTGTTTTAAATTTTATTATATGGAAATATAAGTTTTCATTGTTGATCATATTAACTTGATGAAATGCTTTATTTTTACAGATAGTGGTGTTTATTCTGTTTTTCAGCATGTAAAATGTACTGAATATCAAATTGCTTTAGCGCATGCATAAAAATAAATCTATGATTCAACCAACATATGGGCAAAAGGAAGACCAATAATGTAGCTTGCACTAAAATATAGGCAATTCTAATGCCATCAGAATTATGAAATCGATTCTGGAACAAAGAGTCCAAGCATCAGTCACAAGGTATCCAATATCATACTTGGGAGATAATAGTCAGGCGACTCTGTCCTCTTCATCCATTGTAACAATTCATATGGATAGAGATAGTTCCTTTGATAACCAGCGCCCAAGGAAGAGACGTTTTCTAGACCAACGTAAGCTCTTCGATTTACATGTGAAAGGGATCAGAAACCCAGGATTATACTTTAACTCCAGTAATGTACTGTGTGAACTATGGAACATATGGCTGTATGTTGCAATAACTTATGCATCTAGGTAAAATTGCACAGCAAGTTTCATAGTGTTCACTTCATAAAATCTAACACGAAGAGTTTAAATCCATAAAAATGTGGACGGCAAGTGAGACAAGTGACTGAAAACATCTGTGTGAGAACAAATGTGTATTATCCCGCACAACTGACTGGCAGTGTGCTAACATAAAACATTTCAGACTGTTCATAAAAGTTAAAGTTGTATCTGAAGTGTCCTCTCCTCCTGTCCCTCCCAACACACATACGTTGTACAGTTAAAACTTGCACAAGCAAGATCCACATTAATGACACCAAGTGAAAGGAAATAGGACTGCTTTTAGAAGTAAGTACACTTCCTATTCAGGCTGTTAAAAAAGAAGACAAAGTGATACTAGGGTTTCACAGGTACAATGCAGTTCTGAAACCAGACAACTGATTTTGATGGTCTCAATTTGATTATTTCTCCCTAGCCACTCTCTCCCTTTGTCTTCATCTCACTTTATATTACAGCCACAGGGTTTTTGTTGTTGATGCCAAACAAAATGGATCAAGGTAAAAACCTGACAGACAGAATATGTCTTAGAAAGGATCCTTCTGAACTATCCCAGTGTTCTAACACTCTCTCCTGACTGGGCTATCTATTGAAAAAAACTGTCTAAATAAAACCCATTAAAATCTTCGGTAACAAATGGATTCCCTGACACCTACAGTCACACACAGAATTCTAGCTCTGAGCCTTCAAAGCAGAGAGCGAAAAAGAAAGAGATGAGAGTGTACGTATGTCAGGTGAGGAAGATGTGCTGAATCATGCATCGAAGTGGATGTAGGAGCAAGGCCCGTGCCAGTTACTTTAAATACGCAGTGGTACATTCAAAACATGCAGAATTCAGTTCTGTGTTCCAGGACTATGCAGACACACTGCAGACAATGACTAAAACAAGCAACAGTAAAGCCCTTTGAGAGGTGGTTGCAATTGAAAAGAGATTTAAGCTTAAACCGAAGAATGTCACATTTAATATTCAGAGCACTCTAACTGAATCCTTACCGCCTGGGTTATAAATGGAATCTTACCGTGGGTTGGAATGAGAAAGTGGGCTCATTTCTTTCTGATAGTGATGCTCCTGACTGACAGGCTATGGAAAACAAAAAACAATAGTGAGAAAATAACTTTGCAAATATTCTTTCAGAATGATTAGAAGTGTGTAAGAGATCTTTTACGACCATACACACTTGCAGCTTCTCATATTAGAATGTTACAGTCTTTTTTTCTTATCTGTGAAATTTAAAATGGATATTCAGACCCTAACCGTGCAAAAGTACAGTTTAACAGATTATTCTAGTCTGGGTGGAAATACATACGAATTAGGGAGTTAACCACATGGCTGTTTCTCTGCTGCCTATGAGACTGTTGGGATAATCAGGAAATTTCAGAGGGGAGAGGTGGCGAAGTCTCGTCTGATAAAAAAGTCTGGACTGCACTTGTACAGGAAGCATAGTGCAAACTCTTAGTAGGAACCAACCAATCTTAGGACTCAACAACACTGAGCCCAAGCTCATAGGGCTGGCAGGCACGGTTCCTTTCTCCTCAGAAGCACCATTAACAATAATTTTAGCAGTTCCAAATGAACTTTGTTGAAGCACATGTGATCCTCTACGGCATTTCCAACTTGAAACCTGGATTAAGCTGTTCATTAATACCTAGTGGTGGACTGTATGAGTACTCATACAAAATACTATCATTTTCCACAGTCTTCAAATATTACTTACCCACTTTAAGAATGTACCCCACAGGTTTTAAACTACATTTGGTTTATGGCATTTAAATCAGCTATTGGTAAGAAAGATCAATATTCATAAATTGGAACAGAAGTTCAAGAATTCTAAAATTCAGTGACACATTTTCTCTCAGTGTTTCCAGAAGAGAACTCACCTATCATTATCACACATCCCAAAACCAGTTCTAAAAAAATCTCTGAAGCAAATGCAAAAGAAGTGAAAATACAAGGATGCATTAACAATACTTGTACAATTTAGTACACAGAAGGCTAAAATTAAATACTAAGCATTATGAAAGTAATTTTTTTTTTCAGAAATCAATATAAAAAGGAGTTTGTTCTCACAGTTTCAGGAAGTGGGGAGGGATATTGTAAAATATATGTTCAGGATGAATGACATTCTAATTACTAATTTTCTATGATTCTGTGATAGTTTAGTGGGTTGATAGGGCTGAGACAAAGGCTGGACTCGATGATCTCCAGGGTCTCTGCCAGCTGAAACTATTCTATGATTCTATGATACTCCCAAATATGAGTCACTGCCTAATGGTGGATAGTGCAATTCCCAAATGATGGCTAGTGGAAGACTGAGGATGAGACAGAAAGTGAATAAGTCAGTCTATGAACCAGAACACCCGTCTAAATAATTTTTAGTCTCATTTCATAGTAAAGGATAGTCTGCTTCAGTTTTGCAATTTGACTTGATGTGAACAGATCCCTCCAGGGGTTGTCAAACTGAGCTCTCAGTTTGAATAATTCTGGGTTTAAATATCACTCCTCTTGTCTTCAGACTTCACTTCTGCCAGACCATTTTTGTGTTAAGTGGCTTTCTTTTCTGAAACATCACAAAGGAGGCCAGAAGACCTTCCACAAATTAGGTAGGAACCTGGAAGTACTCTTTCAAATATTTTGCAGATCAAGGCTTATATGACTGAATTTATATTTAGGAAGTTGCCTGGGGAATAAGTAATCTTTCTTCTCTGTCAGTACTCCTTATTTGAAGGACAGGTCTTAGTGGTGAGCATATTTTGCAGTCTGCTAATGGAATGTTATAGCACTACAAGCTTCTAGGATATATCCATGAGCAGTCTAGGAGAACCTTCCCTCTCCTCTGCATTTCTGACTGAGAATCAGGGCCTGTATGCAATCAGATATTCTGAATTCTCTCATACATGATCTTTCTGCAAAATGTTTGTGTTATGTCTGAAGTGGTGTCTCAAGTGTGGAAAGAGCTATCCAATAAGTTGGATGTGCCAATTCCCTGAGAGGGCAGGTAGATCTTACTGGACCTCTAGAATAAAGCAAGACATTTAAGTAGAAATATTCTGCAAGGTTTACACATCTTCTTGGATAAGGTGAAAGTATAAACTTCACATTATACTCTGCAATATACAGAACTGTGTCCTTCCTATTGTTGCAAAGCTAACATGGAATTTCACAGACCTTAATACTGAAGAAAACATTCAGGTAAGACACAGTCAAAGTCTATTAAAACACTCAGTTCCACATACATATATTATTGATCTGGAACTGTTTCCCCCCACACACATTCTACAAGGGTTTATAGCTCTTCTTCAAAGTAAATCTGTTTTAAAATAGAAGTTTTTCACATTTATATCTGATAGCTATGCTGGGTAATGTATAATATTCAAAGCTATTTTATTCCTTTTTGGCTGTCATAGTTTACAGCAGCTGCTAAGCAACTTACATTTCACCAATTTCTCCTGACAGTTCTTTGTAAACTATCATAGATATAAAAATACAGTTTCAGTATTTGTTTTACAGTTGTTTAAGGACTGTTCTAACTGCAACTTAGCAATATGATTGATCTATGTGCCTTTACATCCAGAAGGCTTTCTTAGATTCCTTAGTCAGTAACATAAGAACTTCCAATGAATCTAGAAATCAAACTAACAATGGCAAGTGATGAAAAAATAAACTCACTAAAAAAGTGCTTTATATATAAAATAGTACTTTGATACATAGGTTTATTACCTAACAGTTATATATCCTGCCCTGTAAAACATTATAGGTATTTCAAAATGAAAGATACACAAAAAGCTGCCTTCTGGTGGTGCTGTTGCCATAGATTCCACTAACAGACAAAAAAATGTATAAAATGAAAAAAAAGAAAGAATGAAAACACTTTCTTATCTTTGAAGAACATAAGAGAAAACAATAGATATTACTGATTTAAGACATGACCTGGAAACACACGTAAGCATGAAAGCTTAATCATGACAAGAATTTCAAGATTTCCTTAATTTCTCTAACTACTACATGAGGATTATTTCTCCTGCTTTTCTATATATTGCTCTGCTAACACCATTTGCCTAGGCAGCTAGAAGATAGCTACAGATATATATAAACTTTTCTGCAGTTTGTAAATTTGATTTTGGAAGGACTGATCAAATGCAAATTCTCTTAACTCAGATGATGGTGGTACTAAAGATCACTGACAAAATCAAACTTGCCTTTATTCTACACATTTAATTTTTACAGAACATATATAAGGAATAAATATATACATAAGGAACACTTCTTGGTAAAAATTGGAAGTTGATAAAGCGATGACTTTACTCTGGCTGGGGGATGAAGGGATTGAGAGCAGCCCTATGGAGGAGAATTTGGGGGTACTGGTAGATGAAAAGCTGGATGTGAGCCGGCAATATGAGCTTGCAGCCCAGAAAGCCAATCGCATCCTGGGCTACACAAAAAGAAGGAAAGGAAAATATGAAATGAATCAATAGATACCATGGACAAACTGACGCAGTACTGGTACAGAGAGCCCCTTTGCATAAACGCAGAGGTACGTGGGTAGGGAAGACCACAGAAGCTGAATTTCAGCAGTCTTTGATGTAGCAAAGGACTAGGCAGTTAGTCCTTATCTGAGAAAGATCAGGTTTGCTTTCTAAATTATCTCTTCCTGGAAATGAGGTTCTTGCCATTAAATCTTAAAACCTCAATGCCCACCTTGCAAAATGCAGAGCAGAAACCTGGCAAGGATGTATGTGTAAGACACAGCAACACTTCAGTTGAATGAAATATGAAAAACTTCTCTCTCAAAGACGAATACATTGCCTTTTACACTTGGTTTATGTAAAGAAAGATAGCCACAAGGTCTATGATGAAAAACTATAACTATTTTAAACTGTGATTTAGGTGACTAACTTATTATATATAAACATTTTTTTAGACTGAGTCTATTAGTCTTAAGCTACAGAAGCTGATGAAGGCAGTAAGATCAAAGAATTGTCTTTGCCATCATATTGTGCTTCACTGAATACTGGAGCAGTACATTTCACTTTTAAAGTTAATTTTTTTTAAATAATGTAATTCATATTAACCAAACTTGACATGTCTAAATACTCTTATCAATTTCCTTATAATTAAACTACTAAAAAAGTAATGAGACTGCTATTCTCTTTATTTAATTGAGTTCCATCTGCCTAGCCTTGCCGTTTTAGACCACGTTTAACGAGTACTGAGAAAACACATTGGAAATATGAAGAAATCAACTGCATGTGTAATGTTGACGAACCTCAAATAGTTAAAACCCACGAACATTCCCCCAATACTCTGCAAAATATTAATCTGTAAACAAAGTTCTTATTTGTACAATTACCCACTTATTGATACATCTCTTCTCATTTGAAACCTCCATGTACCAGTGTATTAAAACGTTCCAACGCTGTGTTGATCACTCACTGTGGAAGATTGCCACTACAGCCCTCTATTTGCGTCCTATAGATCCCTGGAGGTAATTTGCCCCTACTATTTTAGTGTATTTACTCTACAGTTGCTTACATTGGGGCAACATAACAGTGTAAAAGGCTGATTTTGTATGACTTTGTACCAGGACAAATAATGATACAAGGTATAAAATACCAAAGGATCACATCCTAAGTGCTCAGAACTACTGCAGCTTTTTGCCACTGTTCTCCTGCTTCAGTCCTTTAAACAGCTTCTCACTAATGAGATTTTATCATTGTAAAAAGCAATTACTTTCCATTACTCACACTGTAATGCGGTTGCTGACTGGTGTATCTGGGTTTCATTCATTCTGGAACTATTTTAAAGTATTATATGACAACTCTGCAGGTTGTCAGCCACTATTGTGACAAGTCGTACAGCCTACGTGATTATTCAGGATTCTAGGAATGAATGTATATAATAGATTTGCTCTTTGCCTCTGCTGGAAGTGCTTATGTTTTGGTTGCATGTTTTACTTCATAAGGTCTAAAGGACGCTTGGTAATGATACCTTAAATTTCAAAGCTACTCAAAGAAATTTTAATATTCAAGACCCCTGACTTTCAGAATTGATGGAAACTATATAGAGAAAATACTGTGTGTTTAGACTTACTGGTGGGAAACAGGAGTTCCAGGTTGTTGTATCATCACTGGTTGTACTTATGCTAACATTGCAGTTATCAATCTGTGATGCACTCAGCCCGTGTGAGATTCCAGTATCCTGTAATTCTTCATTTTGTTGTCTCTTCATGCTAGCCAGCATCTGTAGTTCAGATGAACTTAGTCTATTCGACTGGTAGTTTTTCCAGTCGTACTCCTGTGAAATAAAATTGAAAGGTCAACAATAGAGACAGGATCATGGAGAATAATATATGAACAAAACAGATAGCTTGGAGAAACTTGGGGTGAACCTTCAAGAAGCTACAATACTAAAAGAGAAGCAAAAATTTTACCAGAAGAGGTTAATTAATAGCTTTCTGTTCAGCTATGAAGATCAAGCATATTTACACATAATTATAGGAAGGAAGAAGAACACACTGTTACAGACTGCAGTTTGGATCCAGGGTGTTCGGTGAAGTTGATGTTCCACTGAATTTAAAAACAGAAGATAAGAGCAGGCCTTCAGAAGTTCAAAAATCCAGCAGCTCAGATTGCTTAAGCATTAAATGTAAATCCGGAAACAAACCCAATCACAGCATTATCATAGTACCATAAACATAATCAAAACAACATCTAGTTAGTTGTCAAGCACAGCATAAAATTTGTCTGGAAAGTTACATGTCAGCACTAAATTTCACAAGTTGTTTTGGTAACTTGCTAGTGTATACATTTAAAAATAAATATCACTGGTTTAATTTTCTTTATACTCGTTGGTTTAATTGTTAATGTAACTCTAATTGTTATATCGAACTTAACTAGTTTGCAGTTTGTACTGCACATGAAACCTCACAATAAGATTGATTAAGTCCAGAAACGTGTTTAACGGGGGATAGACGTGCTCATAGACTCGTTCACCGTGCTGAACTCCAAGTATAAGATGTGCACACTGGAAGGGAATTTTGGATGAAAGACAGATGAAGTGAGCCTTTCTTTTTAATAACACATTTAATGGTATTATGCCATGAACAGAACCTTGATTTCACTTCAAGCCCTAGAATATTTTGCTACCTATTAACAAAAATACTTTTAGAATAAAAATTTGTAACATAGTTTTATTTCCTTATGGGCGCCATAGAAGAAATCAACAGTTATTATCTCAATAGTATGTAAAATAATACTTCCTATTTTAATTCTAGTTAAGTAATTAAGTTCCATTCAGTTAAGGCTGATGTAAAACAGTAAGTTTTCAGGAGCAGCAACTCTATCATCTATCTTTGATGTTTCATTCTGATTACCACGTTACTATTTCACTTAAAGCCATCTATTGCAAATAACTGGTCAAAAAGAAAATTCGCACTGAAATAATGAAGAAAACCACCTTTGATGGAAAGTATGCCTGCAAGCTGACAATCAGCAGGTAAATATATCACAAGAAACAGGATTTATGACTGAAGGGCACTCAAATGGAAACAGCTGCACATGAAAGTGTGAAAATCTGCGTGAAAAAAAACAGTTCTAAAGCCTATTGCAAGCACTTTCAATTTTTTCCTACCTATCTCAAATTCTTAAGTCTCAAATTCTTAAGCCTTTGCAAAGATATTTCCTACAGAATCACCTCAAGCACTCAGGCTATTTTTTGGTATAGATAAACGTAGTCTGCCTTTGTGTACAAGGTAGAAGATGACAGAAGCTGTTAGCACAGCTGCCACCCCTTTTTTACCGCTGGCTTTTGAGGTCCACACTTCATTCCTGAATAGCATGATCACTACTACTACTTTTAATCCTTCCGATAACACACAATGTTCTCCCTGGACCATCACTGAATGTATGTTATTAGCTCAGTTGCTGTTATTTGTTTACTTCATACGTAGCTTGCTATGCTACATCTGGAAACACTGCCCAAACCTGCGCATCTTTTCCTTCATGTCCATAGATGAATAGATTTTTGGATAGACACAGAGATTTTTGGAATTTTTACAAAACAATTCAAAACATTTGTTGGGTTTTTTTTTCCCCCAGTTAATTTCAAATCGTTATTCTGTTTTCTTTTCTTGTAATGGTCTCACTCTAGAAATACCACGCTCAGAAAGGAGAATAGGTGTCCTGACAATTTTCTGTGTTGAACATCCTGTACAACAAACTCCTTGTAACCAAGAAGAAATAGTTTGGACTATTTATTCTGTACCTTCAGATGACTACTACAAAAAAGTCTCTTCACAAATTTTATATTGTCTTGGCCCATTTTCAAAGAGAAAATTTGAAAACTGAATCTGAAATTGAGTTCAGTGTAATTTAGGAGAAACTTTTGATGTAAGAAATAATTTTGCAATACTTGTAGATTTGTCTAAAATTATTATTTCATTTAGTAATTAAAAGCTTATCGTCTTTTGCATATCCTCCCCTTATGATAAAGTATTTTTATTAAGCCCTTAAAACTTGCTAGATTGACGAAACCTGTTGTTGAAAGGATTTTTTTCACATATAATGACATCTGCATTCTTCTAGGTTCAAATGATTTATTCAGAATTGTTTGAACGTAGTTATACATACAGAAAACTTTAATTACCAGCTATCTACATGCTTGCAATATTACCCAGAGGGCTGTACTTCTTTCTTAATTAAAAATATTTGAACTTAATAATAAAGAAAACATGAATAAAACATTGCAAGCAACCAGGTCCTTAAAGTGTATTACGTAGTTAGCGGAACGATTGCAAGGGTTGGTTAAGCATTTTCTTTTCTTTTCTTTACCAGTCCTCCGTATGAGCAGATTAGAAAAGACTACCTCTCTGTAAACTCTACTCTAATACCCTTTCATACAAAACTATCCTTTCATACATAATTCCTAAAACAATGAGCAGTGTTGCAGGATGGAAATAAAGTAATTACATGCCCACAGCCCACAAAAACAAATTCTGTAGTTAAAAGTATTATAAGTCAGTGCTTCTTTCTTAAAACTTGTGGGGACTTAGATTACTAGTTTCTTCCTGCAAAACTGCTCCAGCAGAAAAGCTTTACATTGGTATATGATCAGAAGGGCTGATACAATAGCTTATTATATCACTTTTAAAATTATTGGAAGTATTAACAATAAAAAATATGTATTTGACTTTATTCTACAAATGTCAGGTGAACACACTTTCTAGTGTAAACGCCCCCTGTTGAAAAGGCAGTCAGTGGCACGCAAATTTATCTCTAATTTTGACCATTGCAAAAAGAAGTATCAAGGAACTCTGAGGAAAGGCTTCTGGATGGGAAAAATTTATTACTTGATCAAATCAAGTATGAGAACTAAATCTGCCAGATACTTTCATCTTACACTTTGCAGCAATAAAACAAAGTTCAGTACTCCTGAGTTTCTACACATTGATAATAAGCTTTGTCCTTGCAAACCCAAAAAATTACATTTTCAGTACTTTTACAGCTCCAAGTACATTACGGTAATAATTCTACTGTCTAATTTACTAGTCAACTATTTAGTGAGCAGAGGAATACTTTTCCTTCATCTTTTAAAACAAAATATCACAAAACCGCTGTAAAATAAATCTAATACTTTAAAAACTTAATTGCAATCCACCTAGGTAGTCTATATTTAGTTACATTCTACAGGACAGAGTTAATCACTGCAGTAAACACTGATAACATCTTTGGGAAAAGTGATCAACATATCATTTCAACATAGTTGAATTTTAAGTGGAACAATTTTCCAAAACTTTAAAGAATCAGGAAACATGAGAGAAATATATTTGATTCAAAAAGAATAGGAAATATTTAAGAACATAATTAGCTTGAGACAAACTTGTTCTTTGAATTACTGCATGTTTCCATAAGGAGAATCCAGGAACATAAAAATAGGAATAAAACAACACTTTGGTGAATGTAATAATTCCTTTAGTAGCTAGGCGATTGAGCTTATGCCTTACTGCTGGCCCTCCATCACATAATTTATTATTTTTCAGGGCTGTCACAGATAGACTATGAAGTACCTAGATTAACGTTCTTTCTATGTCCACTTGTTAATACATCAATTCAAAGTCTGTCAATTTTCCTTTGTAATCATTTAGCCCCAAACTACTGTCTAACTCGCAGATCTCCAAGGTGCAAGTTGCTCAGTGACACGTCTTTTTATCTATAAACCTCTGTGATTTCTGTTTTATTTGGAGTACTATTTTGTGTGCCACAAAAACTATGAAATCAACTTTCAAAAGACTAAGCTCTTTAAATACTGCTACAATGAAAAGAGAATATATCTGGATAAAAGACATATTATTTCTTACTTTGAGCAAATGGGTACCTCTATTACAGCTTCTCTATATAATCCAATAATGTAATTTAAAAGTAAAAATCACTTACACAAGTCTGCTCTGTCAGACAGGAATTTCCTCTGGAGATCTTTTTGAGAGACTTTTTACTGATGGATCCTTTTAATTGATCAGAAACTCCTTCATATATTTCAGATCCATCTGGAATTACTTTAAAGAATTCATATTTACTTCCAGTTGGAGAAAGAGAAAGGGGAGGCTTTAGGCTGCTCTGGGAGGTAACAGAAGCTGTGTGTTTCACAGTGGAACTCTGTGGCTTTGACAAGACGGTATCTTCGAGGTTATGTTTCCTGTGTTCCTTATTCTTCCAGTATTTATTCTGCCATGACATCGTCGCTTTCAAAACCGCTGAATCAGATGTTCCTTGCTTACTGTAGCTGATCTCCAGGTTCTCAGTACCCTGGATGAATTCATCGTTGTCATCCTAATTTTAGGAAACAAAGTAAGAGTGATTCCCTCTCATCATCATGCAATACAGTTTTGCATAACCTTAAAATTTCAAAATGGGTCTTTTAATCTGTGCTGCCTGATTTTACATTTCCATTGGTTCCAAAAAACAGATGCTCTTCCTGGAAACTACACCTAACATACCAAAAATGTATTCTTACATCTTAAGCATTGAAAAGTAGAAGGCAGAAAAAACAGGAGAGGGAGACAAGATTACACTTTTCAAAATGTCGGCCCAAATTTAGAATGCTAGTATCCAACCAAACCTGTGTGTTACATGATAATGATAATTTCAATAAAATTTGTTACAATTTTAAACCAAAAGGAAGCAAAATGTCCACAATAATGATGTTTTTCAACAGAATTATTAATGTTCCATATTTTCACACCATATCTTCAACACGTGTACAAGGAATAACTGCTGCTGAGATAATTTTGGTCACCTCTGGAAGTGTCATTGAATACTATATTCAGTACTATTTAAATATCATTTAAAAGTTTTGGAGGTTAGTTTGTTAACCTCATATTCAGGCTTCTAACATTGGTCACCTCTGGAAGTGTCATTGAATACTACATTCAGTACTATTTAAATATCACTTAAAAGTTTTGGAGGTTAGTTTGTTAAACTCATATTCAGGCTTCTAACCATGTTGCTGCAAAATATCCTATGAATCAAGTGTATGACCACTCGTATTCCACCTCAACAACAAAAAGCAAGTAATGGGGAAGCGTATCTTGTGTTTGCCTCATTTCTTATTCTCAAGGAAGGAGGGACACAAGATGAAACTGAGATTTAGCCCCTTTAACTATGTTTAATTCATGATGTAGGGACAAAAAACACAAGGAAAATTTTTGGACTTTTACCAGTCTGAGATACTTAAAAAGATAGGCAAAAGTTTTTTTTTTTTTTGATTAAAACTAGGTTTAATTTATATTTTCCAGAACAAAGGAAATTTATGTTCACATCCAATTATTTAAATTATAGGTTGATATACCCATCTTATCTGATGTAGTTCAAGAGTGTCTCTATATCCATGTGTTATACAAATATAAAGAATTTGAATTTCAAAGAAAGCTGTGATATAATGATCATGAGAAACAATACCAATGTGAACACCTGTAACAATGTAGCTTATTTCAGCATGCAAGATTTAATGTATAGTTTTAAAAAGCACCGCAAGATTCAGCATAATCTAGTCAAATAAATATTCGGTCACACCAACCTTTGGTAGTAAGTACAAATATCAGGCATTATCACTTCTAGAAGCAGACACTGTAAAAATATGCTGTTAACTTCAGGAGGTGCAGTCTCTTAGAAAAGATTTAGCTGCACCAAATTGCTTCTGTTTTAGCTCAAACCAGGACAATGAAGTAAACTGGGAAACACATTAAAGAACTGGTAATTTTGCAAAGATACCTTAAACTGTCCTAAAATAGGTAAGGTTAAGTCAGCGGTCTTATGTTCATAAATCATGGCTTTTCAAAGGTCCTCCTTCCTGTATTTTCATTGCTTGAAACAAAACTGCTTTCTAGTTTACTTCAGTAATGCAAAGTAGAGCAATCTGAACATTAAATGTGTATCCAGACTATTACTATAAAGCGGAATTCAAGAAGCAACACAGAATGTATCTGTACAAGGAGAGGCAGAATATGGGCAAAATATGACTGCTAAGTAATCTGTTGATTCAGTGACTTCTTTCACATGAAAGAAAGGCTTAACTATGAATTACTAATGTAGTGGTTAGACTGAGAAAAAAACCCCTTGATAATTTGTTAGCATGCTGTAAATTTGTTTAATGGAATTATCTTCTAGTTTTGTAAGTCTAATACATCTCCAGCTGCAGTGCTGATGCTATTTAATGCAGTTTGCATCCAAAGATAACAAATGAAGCACAGGCTGTTCCCTAGCACACCTCTGGCACACGGTCAAAGAAAAGTTTTCAGTATATATACATATAACACCTTAAATCTTTCTAAGGAAGACAGAGATCCTCTATCAGTCTCTCTTGCACCAGCTTTCTAGAATGACATTAATCACAGAATCACAGAATGTTTGGGGTTGGAAGGGACCTCTGGAGATCATCCAGTCCAACCTCCTGCCAGAGCAGGAGCACCCAGAGCAGGTCACACAGGGACGCGTCCAAGCTGGTCTTGAATGTCTCCAGAGAAGGAGACTCCACACCCTCTCTGGGCAGCCTGTGCCAGGGCTCTGTCACCCTCACAGTGAAGAAGCCTTCTCTAAGGTTTTTGGGGAACCTCCTGTGTTCCAGCTTGTGCTGTGTCCCAAAGTTGTTCTTGTGTCGTAAAAGCAGGAGCACTTGGCTGCTGCTTTCTCTTCGTGCACTTGGCACTCTGAAGCTGGTTGATGGCAGGGAAGGTTAGCCATCTTCTTCGGTACCTGCTTAATCACCAAAGTTTATTGACTACATTAACTTTTGATTAATTTATATAAATTTAACTGATGTACTATAGAGCAAGAGAAGTATGCCATGTACACTGCATTTTGAAAGACTCTTTATTTTCACTCACTTACCATAGCATGGCCTTTACTGTTTGGTACCTCTTCAGGTATCTTCATTTGCCCTTTTTCTACAATCCTTATGCTAGGAAAATATTTTCTTAACCTAGCTTCTGTAACCTCTCTGGCTTTTCATAAGCATAACTGACAAAGAAATTCTTGGACATTCAGACCATCCTATATCTTCAGAATGGTATCCCATACAGCATCGCTCATGAACTATTAGCTAAAACTGATTTAATTCTGAAATTCAGGAACTTTGAAATAAAAGAACTTTGAAATAAAAGAACTTTGAAATAAAAGTTTAAGTTAATAAGTAATACACTGCCTCAGATAATGGGAAAATTCCCACAACTGCAGAAAGAAAAATGAGATTTTTTTTGTTTCCTATAGTTAACATTAGCAATTTGATTTCTCAGAACATGAAGCAGCTAAGTTCAGTTCATTTTGTTATTACATAACTCAGTTGCATTTTATTTCTCAGGGATGAACTGTTGCTCATTAGAACGCCAAGAAACATTTCTTATATAAAAATGAAACATATTAGAACATTCATGAAGAAACTTTTAGCAGTTACTGTAACAACACAGTGCAGCTATTACTATACAGAAATTCACCAAATGCATCAGTTGATACCTTTGTTAAAAAAATATTTGTTTTCTTTCTTTAATTTTATTGCTGAAAGATTTCCACATTGCAAAAGAATTAAAGTTGGTGATGCAGACACAGATCAGAGATGATACAAAGCCAAAATACCAATCAAGTGACATTAAAAAGCCGAAATTTCTTAATTTGCTTTTGACAATGCTGGTGGGCAAAACAGTCCCTGCTTACAGTTTTTAAAGGCAAAATGAAATCTCATTTACTGCACTCTTGCTCAACCATAACGGACTTGCTCAAATCTACGATATAAGCTTTCCCAAAATCTTTTTTGTTGCAATGATGCTCACATGTCTCTGTTAGCACAGGGGCTGACTGAGTTAGGTTTCTTTTGTCCTCTGGTTACAGAGGGCATACCTGCATTTTCACTCCTGTATCCACTTAGACACAGCAACCTGACAAAGACAAATCTACCTGTGGGTATATGGGGAAAAGATGATTTATCCTCTGCCTAGCTTGAAGACAGAATCTCATCCTAGGAGCTTCAGGATGAAGTCTACTTTATCAAGATTTACCTGTGCAAAGCGGCCTACCTCTTCACTGCTGTCAGTTCCTTGAAAGCTATCTTCAGTTTGGCTTTTCACACGTACTCCGTTACTGTCTTGCTTCAAATCCAAAGGGAAAACGCAACATTCTGGTGACATACTGGGAGACTTCCCACGAGGAGCTGGTCGAGGTCTTGATGAAAATGTGAAAATCTCTTTATTATGCACCTGATGATCGCCTGTTCCACTGCTGTGATGTTCAGCAGAGGCATTCTGTGGTGAGGTTATATTATGGCAGGCTGAACCTTCAGTAGCTGCGGACTGCTCACTCCCATCCAACTGAACACTCTCAGTGCAGCTTTCTGGGAACACCCATTCATCTGAAATGTACAGTGTTTACTTTAATGGCAAATATGCAAATTGTATGCTACCCTATCATTCTCATTTTCTCTGGAAGGTGTTTGGTATTTTTTTATACAGAAACTTTCTGCTTATCAGATTTACACAGTTGCAAGAGTGATGAGGATGCAACGGAAAAGATCAGGCTGCTAAGTGAGGTAAAGTTAATCAAAATATTCCCAGATCAGAGCTCAAAAAATCTGTAGGCTATGATAGATGACACATAAGCCTGCAATTTGCAAATCTGTAACTATTTAGCTGTGAAGATTTGAAACTGTTTAACTGAATTTCATTCTAGGAAATCATAATTTTATTCAATTTGGCTGTTAATCTATTTCTATTGGCATTTTTTGTGGCTGACATTAAAAAAAAAACAATCACACATAGTTGGTGGAAAGTTCATAATATCACATTCTGCTGCTGCTTCATTGCTGAAATTCTACACTTTCTTTTATGTCCAGAACTTATGGTTTAAATCTCAATTTCAAACTACATCTCTGATGAAAAATGTGACACGAAAAATGTATTAAGATATCTGTTTCACCAAGTTTCTCTGAACACAGGCTGTACTAATCTGCCAATTTTAAAACAAACAATAAACCACAGAAATGGATTTAAAGATTGAGTGCACCAGACAAACATGAAAAGGCCATTTTTATACTCTTATTTTTAACTTATATTTTACTGTTTGGAATGATGGTATAGAAAAAAATGTCAATTTGATTGATTAAAACCAATCTCAAATAGCATCTGAGAAAAGGAGAATTGCTCAAGTATGCAATACTCTCTTATCTTCATTAAAGGTAGTGTGGTGTGGATTATTCACTAGATCTTGAAAGTTTCTGGCTCCATAAAACAAAGTTACCACCAACCATATTTAAAAAGCCTCCATAAAAAAATACTAAAAATGTAATAATAAAGTAGCACTGCAATAATAAAATGCTTGCCATCAAAGAAGATAGTAAGTTAACTATGGTATTCTACTCTTTTTTGGTTTGTTAAAGATAATTTTCACTCCAGGCAGATTCAGCAGCTTTGGAGGGGGGAAAAAAAAGTCTGAACCATCATAAACGAAGGCAAAAAAAGAAGAAAGAGACATCAGGAGAAACAGCTGTCTTCTTTCTAGTTTACCGAAGACGGTTAGTAAGGCTACCCAACTTCAGTTAATATCCTAAACAATGGCTTGTACTGGGAACCAGCGAGAGGTAGGAACTTGAAACATCTTGTACATCCAGGGCTTGAACTGAATTTGTTCCAGAAGAGACTATTTTCAGTCTCTACATAAAGACCCTCTATAGTCAGAAGCTCTAAGGCTTTTCAGGTAAACTCTTTATAGTTGAGAATTACGTCGGTTTCAAACAATCTAGCAGATTGTTGCCTATTGTACATTAAAAAGTCTATTTTGTAAATACAGATAAATCTTGTTTTTATTTAATAAAGAACTTGAAACATGAACATGTAAGTACTGCTATTTATTTTAGAAATATTTTGGACTAGCTTTTTCAAGAGACTCAAGAAATAAGTGAGACTATTCAAAATTTTTAAGAGCTACTATTCACTTGTGTAAACCCAATGACCTTTCATTGTGATCAATAACTACGAGTTTTTCAGAGGAGGATACTAGACAGGATTTCCCTGTCTTTGATCACTCAAGATCATCTCACACTCCTCTAATAACATATTTTTCTTAGTAAGGAAATGGAATGACATGCGAAATGTCATACACAAATAAAACAACTAAAATCATTAGAGAAAGCACAGTATTAATAATGAATTCACATTTCACAGTTTTTATGCTTTCACTATATTTAATATCTATATAAGCTGCATTTTTAGAGTAATCATTTCCCCTATAAAATGAAATGAAAGAGGTATCTTATTAATTTTTTGCATGAAGCTGAACAGAGTATTAGGATGCTTGAGAATAAAGGCTCGAAAAGGCAGAGAAGACTCGACTTTGAGTCGGGAACTTTTTTCCCCAACTGATTTTGTGGCCTAACATGATTAAAAATCTCTCTCTCACTAAATCAGTATTTTAAAGTACTCAATCATTTGTCCAATAGGAATCTGAAAAGCCTGAAATTGTTTTGAATGTCCATGTCAACCACTGTGAATCCAAAGAACTTCAGAAATATAAAGAACTATAAATGATTCAGTATAGTCTGTATAGTATTTAGCCTGAATATTCTGCTTTTTCAATTTAATCTCCTCTGTAAAGAACAACATTCATTTCCAAAGATGCTGAAGAAATATACTTGGGTTAGTAGTAAGTTAAATGCGAATATTAGTTTGTGTACCACAGTACTTTTCTCAGTGAAATATGCAGGAGGAGGACAGAAGAGTCCATAAGGCTATAAGATGACATTTTTTGCTGGCTATGGAGTTCAGTAACTTCTGTAACCTTCAGTCAGTGCAGTATTTTATTATTAGCCTACAAGTGACAGATATGGGGTGTTTTGCACCAAAGCAAATCCCACCACAAACTACATTGCAATGTTTTTTAAAGTCAGCATTTCCATGTCAATTGTAATGAACAATTTGGAGTATCTTCTTAGCAAAATATGCAAATTACTATGTAATCGCACCATTGCAGCAAACAAGGTGAATGCAAGAATGATCACCTGAACGTCTAATTAGTTCTTCTGCAAAGTCACACTTATGCTAAAGCTTCTAATTGCAGCATAGCATTTTAATGAAGGTGTCAGCATCGTATAAATAAGATTGGCAGGCCATAAACAATGCTCATTCATTTTTCCTTTGCTTAAAATAATTTACCTTGGTAAAGGTACTGCACACTTGCCACAGAAGACATGCTGATTTGAGGTATATAATAAATCTAAAAGATACTGTTATAAACAGCGGTGGCTAACCTCTAAGGTAATAAGAATATGATTATCTAATATAAAAAGAGTTTACTTGAAAAGCCTTGGGAATCCTGACTATACTTGGTCTTCACACCATGCCTTTATCTGCCTGTACACAGAACCCAGACTATACAGAAACAGTTTTCATTCTCACAAATAGCAAAATTGCAGTACTTATACATAGCTTTCCTCCTCAGTTCTCTGCTTCTGAATTTACAATAAGGCATTTAGACACGCCAGTCTACTCCCATCTCTTGTATTTACATAAAATAACAAGTGTTGACGCAATTTTCTGAAATTCTAGCCCTAGGTAGAGGCCCCAGTGTTCCAGATGAAGAATGAGACAGTGATTCCTGCCTCAGAGTCCTCAAAATTCAGGTAAATAGCAAGTAAAAAAATTTCCAGAAGACTCTACTCGCCTTATCTTGCATCTGCTTCAGTTACATTATGAAACCCATAAGAGCAATTATGGAGTACTGACATTGTCCTAATATACAATTGTGTCTAAATATTCCAAATATAAACCAAAATGGAAATAACTCAAAATGTGAGGGAAAATTTCTCTGGTCAATTTTGAGTAGATTTAATTAGTCTGCCCACTTTACAAGTTGGTGGCTATGCCCTTTAACAGAAAGTAACACTACTTCTTCATAGAAACAAAGCCTATTTTTTCCACAATAATGTATTTTCCAGATACCTGCAAAGCAAGTTGATTGACACTGTATGACAAAAAATATCCATGCCTTTTGACAAATAGGTGCGAAAGAAAAAAAAAAAAATCTCAGATGTCTTTATATAAATAGGAAAGTAAATTCACCACTAAACTTTAAAACTAAAACAAACCCCCTGATACTACACTAGTAAGGTAATTAATATCCTAAACTCTTGCCTGGGACAAGTAAAATTTCTCATAGATTTGATGTTTGGAGCCTTTAGTGTTAAATTTAATAGGGATTTAAAGAATAATTTTTTTTTAGTTCTTTCCCTTTAATCATGAGAGCACAAAATTTTTCTTTTTATATTCATTCACTCCTGTGGCACTCTGCTTAATCCTGCAGATCCTTATCAATGCTCAAAAGCAATTCTGTTGCAGGGTGCTTGATTTCCATAATCCCCCACAACACAGACATTTATATTTCGTGTGAACTGCTTCTGGGTCCTTTGAAATTTATAACAGACAGTCCCCTAAACCCCACCTAATATAAAACGGGCACCATACCGCTGGTTATGTCCCATGTGTTTTTTGTTTCATTTTTTAGAGATAATCTTCTATGGCTGTTCTTTTCTGCTGATGGTCTTTGTGGTGAGGTGAGCTGAAAATCTCCTCTTTCACTCTCAGAGGGTTTCTGAGCCTGTACTGCAGGATCTGAAATACAACCCAGAAGCTTATGAAATACCTGTTAACACTCATATTGTGTGCTTTTCTTACTTGAGGCATGGAAAAACAGCAAACAGAGCACTATCGCGGAATACAAACATCTTCCAAGCAGCACAGGAATCTTGTAGGGTTTAGGAATATGATGGTCACAAGAAAGTAAAAATTTGACTCTAGGTATAGAAGAAAGGCAAGCCACAGGAGGTATAAAAAACAGTCTTGGAAAAGTCTGAAAAATAATCAAGAACCACTGCAGTAGCCCAGTTATATACACAGCATGAGGAAAGTGGAATATGTGTATAAACTGTGGCTACTGCCAGCAGGTGGGGATCCTTGGCTCACAAACTTACACAATTAATATCTGCAGAGAGAACGAGCATTTATTCAAGCTCATACGTAAGAATATGTCATGATTTATTACAAATATCTTCAGTAACTAACCAGGTAGACAAGAGATCACAAAAACAGAGTATTAGGTCTTACATTCTTTAGTCAGAATCGTGCAAAAATTTTGGCAGTTTGTGAAGTCTACATATTCTTTGCTTTATGTTCTTACCATTTTGACATTCATCTTCAGTTCGGTGAGTATTTCCTTTGCCTCTCTGATCTAAAGAATCATCGTATGGCAAGAATGATAGCTCCAATCTTTCAATGTCTTGTACAGTTTCAGTTCCCTTTCCTGAACTCCGATGTTGGCATGATCTATTACTCTTGCTGCCCGAGGTCTTTCTTACCTTGAAAGACATTATTTTCTTAATAAAAGACAAAAATGTAAAAGCTTTCAAAATACACAAAGGTAATCACACACTTTGAATTAAGATTATTTATCAATGTTTCTAAATTATTATTTTTTTACTTATTATCTTTTCATGAAACTTTATGGTAGGTACAGTTCTGTATATGTGTATCTTCAGTCTTTACAGTCTAGTAAAAGACAGGGTTTTTCACTGAGTGAAAGGAAAACAAGGCAAAGAAGATTAAAAAAAAAATATCACTGTCTGGATAAAATGACAGTAAACTTTGTGGCTATTCTAGACCTCAGAAGCAGTCTTTTCTCCTTTGGAGAAAGGAATCTCATTTTAAGTTTTAGCTTTCAATTGACTTCCTACAGAAGAGTCTACTTCCTTTTCTGGATCTGTTACTCACAATGTTAAACTGGGAATTGTAGTCCTGACCAGATTCCTAAAATGGGCATATTGTTTGCGGGCAGGGTGAGATCAGCAGTTTTTTCCTGGCACTGTAATGGACAGCATCACACAACTACTGTATGGCTGACTGCCATCCACCTGGAGCACACTGAAATGCTGCTCTGCATCATAGCTCTCATCGTAAGGAAAAATATTTACACACACAAGAATTCCAGCCATAAAACCCCCCAAAATCAGAAAAATAACAAACCACAGGGTAATTTCAGTCAGAAGAGACACCTGTAAGCCTAATGCTGAAATTAGATCAGCCTGTTCCAGTCAATTTTTTTAAATTCCTCAATCTCCCTATGACTCTGTTCTACTATTGAACCCCTTTAACATTTTACCCAGTCAGAGCTCCCCTGCCATTTGAGCCTGTTGCCTCTTGTCCTTTCACTGCACCTCTTAGAAGAGGGCCAGTTTTCTCTATAACTCTGCATCAGTTGAAAATAGAAACTATAATCTTCCTTAGCCTTCTCTTCTGCAGGCTGAACAAACTCATGCCATGTGCTGTAGTCACCCAAGAATTTTACTTGCCCTCCCCTGGATGTTTCAGTATCTCTTGCACTGGGGGTCCACAACCAAACACAACAGTCCAGACACAGCCTCAGGTCAGTTCTGAAAAAACCCTTTGGTGTGACTCCTCTGCTTGTCAATCTCTTCCTTGGTAGAAGTGCCAGCAGTTTTGTTGTAATTTAAACCTTCTTACCTCTCCAGATACCCTTGTGCTGACTCTCTTGTTTGAAGATGGAGGTGGCCCAAGGATCTTTGATCCAAATGCAATATGTGATACATTCTGAGTTTTACTGCTGCGTACATTGCCTTGTCCCCTATTAACCATGCTGCCTAAGAAAAATAACATTTAAAAAAATATTACAGCACTTAATATTTTTTCAAATCAACTGAAATTAAAGAGTTATGAATACCAAATATCCATAAAAATTAAGTTTCTCTATAGCATAATCCCTAGAGATAAGCAGGGATAGTAAACATATATTTTACAAAAGTGCGTCAATCTACAAGCAAGACACTTTTGGTCTGTTATATAGACATATTCCTAATCTCCTTTCTTTAAGGATTTATTTTAAAAGATGTTATTTATAAACGACCAAAAAATTGGTTTGCGTGGTTTCTTTAGAACTTCAATGAAAATCTAACTTCTGACAGGAAAACCCCCCACTCTAATTAATAAATAACAGAATAAATAAATAATAACAAGAAAAGTAAGGCAAGACTGTCAAGGTATCAACCACAACTCGGAGAACTATTTACATGTAGCTTGCTTTCTGAAATTATTGAATCTACTGTAGTACCAGGACTGAGTCCTCATGTGGAAAACATACTCTATTCCTGTTAAAATATTCTATCCCTTTCATTATTTATTTTTTATATATATATATTTATA